CAGGAGATCAAACCCATAACCTTGACATATTGGGATGATGCTCTAACCAACTGAGCTACCCGGCTAGTCTGTTTTTATTTTTATATAAAATAATCTTTTTTTGCCACCTCTATGTTCATAGCAGCACTATTTACAATAGCCAAGATTAAGAATCAGTGTAAGTACCCATCCGTCGATAAGTGGATTAAAAAACTGCAGTACGTCTACACAATGGAATACTACATAGCAGAAAGAAAGAATTCTTACCTTTTGCTACAGCATGAATGGAAATTGTAACTATTATGCTAAGTGAAATAACCCTGTCGGTGAAAGACAAAAACCATATGATCTCACTTATAAAAGAAAGCTAATGAATGAAATAAATGAATGAGTAAAATAGAACCAGAGGCATAAAATCATGGAACAGACGGACAACTAAAAAGGAATGGGGTAGGTGGGGACTGAGAGGGACTGACTGAAAGAAGGTGAAGGAATTAGTCAAAGAACATGTATGAAGGACCCATGAACATGGACAACAGTGAGAGGACTGACTATGGAAGTGGGGGGGGCAGGCAGGGTAGAAGTAGGAGCAAAGGAGAAGTGGGACAACTGTAATAGCATAAATAATAAAATATAAAAATTAATTAAAAATTAAAAAGAAATAAATGTTTCCCTACAACCAAATAGGTGGCCTAAAGGGTCTCAACACTAATACCTAGGCTCAAATACCAAGCAAAAATTAAAATTAGGTTTATTGCCGTTTTTCTCCTCCATTTAATACACCTACATAAACTCTTTCCTGGAGCCCACATGTTAAAAGGCTCAAAGTATCCCCATACAATCAGGAAGGAGAAAAGTTGGGGGGAAAATGAGAAGTGGGGGGAAGGTGTGTGAGTGGGGGGATATGAGAATTCATTAGGCTCGAATCCATAAAAACTGAGAACTGGAAGCATGCAGCAAGTCTCCTTGCCTGTTCTTTCCAGAAGGGATAATACATAACCCAGACTGGATTAATGGCTATTAAGGAGGAAGAAGATTTCAAAACCTCCTTCACTTACTTTTTCAAAATCTAACAACCCCCAGCACAGTCGATGCTTTTGTATCCCTAAGTTAAATCTTGCCTGCTTGGCTTGAGTCCATTTCTGGCCTTGTTAAAAGAGAAAAACAACCCAGCTCCCTCCACATAAAAATCTTTCAGAAACTTTAAGAAAAGAGGGGGAGGGTTAGCTACCAAAAGCACACACATTTGCTTCTTAAGGAAACACAGCCTCAACTGAGATGAGAAATAGAACTGACAATTAATTATACAGGATTCAAAGTTGAAGGGTGTTTCGAAGTGATAACTTTGAGTTATACTTCAAGACTTACCAGATATAGCATAAAGCTGCAAATTACTTCCAATTCTATTACACTGCAGAGACCTCCCTCGCTTAGAGTAAGATTTTTAAAAATCCCAGGTCTCAACTATTCTCTTGCTGACAATTTAAATCCCCATCTCCACCAGCTCTCACTTCAGCTTTTAGTCATTTATTAACCATAGTTCTAACGAGGTCTCTCTCTTTTTTTAAAATATTTTATTTATTTATTTTTAGAGAGAGGGGAAGGGAAGGAGAAAGAGTGGGAGAGAAACATCAATGTGTGGTCGCCTCTCGTGTGTCCCCCACTGGGGACCTGGCCTGCAACCCAGGCATGTGCCCCGACTGGGAATCAAACCGGCGACCCTTTACTTCACAGACCCATGCTCAATCCACTGAGCCACACCAGCCAGGGCACGAGGTCTCTTTTTAAATAAAAAGCCTTTAATGAGCACTACTTTCTGCACGTACAGCATCTGCAACAAATAACACCCCCTTTTTATTACAAAAATCTTTTATTATGAAGTCAAAAACATGTAATTCTGTAACATAGTAATATCACACTCAAGCATACCATATTTTAGGTGCAATGTTCAAATTAAAACTAGAAGTTATTACACCCATATTATGACCCTACCAAGCAGCAGGCATTACTCCTGCCCAACCTTGTATGTACTTCCTTGTCTCTCTTATGCTCTTCACACCTAACAAGGCTGCACCTATGTTTCTTTTTCAGTATTTGATTATTCTTAATTTTGACTTCTCTTCTAAACAGGTCATCAACTCCTCCTGATCATTTCCTCCGCTTCTAGAATTCCAAATTTAACCCTGCTATATCTAACATCTTTACATTGTTCTCATTCATTTACTTATTTATTATCTACTGCATTCCTTACACTGTACTAAACAGTGTGATATAACAGAAGTAAAGAACATGACACTTGACCTTTGGAAATGAAGACATACATAAAAGAACAATTGGTTGGTTCTAAGGTAGTGGGGCTAGTCAGAGAAGGCCCTGTGGCTCTAGTAAATACAGAGTTGGAGCTAAAAATAAGTGTAGAATTTAGTGAAAAAGCTACTTTAGATAGAAGGAACAACATGATTCAAAGCAGCAGGTCATCTGAAGTAAGAGATGCATCAAGGCCCTTTTGTCACTTCCTTCTTTGCCCCCACCCTCTTAAAGAAATATATGCCTTTTGGCCTTCAAATTTTATTTCAGAGATTGTTGTCCATGAATCACAAGCTCACTGTTACCATGACTATCCACAGCCACCACATATTAGAGCAGCTGACAAAGCTTTATACACCAAGTCCTATGTGGTTACCACAAGGCAGGTTTTTAGAATTATCTCTTGGTCTTCCATAAGGACAGTGGGGAGTCAGGCACCTGTAGGGTCTTAGGCACACAAAGATAGCTACCATATTTTTCAGACTATAAGATGCACTTTCCCCACCCCCAAATTTGGGAGGAATATGAGGGTGCGTCTTATAATCCAAATGTAGCTTGCCAGGCTCATGGGGGGGGGCAGTGGAGCAGGGTCACAGGTTATTAAATATTCTACCACATTTTTTGCTTCAAAACATTTTTTCCTACTCTAAAACCTAGGTACATCTTATGGTCTCATGTGTCTTATAGTCCTAAAAATACGGTATTACTTTTGGGTGCTAAAGATATGCACAAAATTATCTTTGGGTGCTAAAGATAAGTACTCTTGCTCTGTCAGACTATTGAAGGATCTTTCAACTTCAGCTAAGTATTTCCTTTATTCATAGCTCTATCACAATCAAAGCCGTTTAAAGAGTCTGAAGCACTGAATTCCTACTTGAAATGGGCATGTTTAATGGTGGTACCAGGGATGTCCTTTTTCACTGTTTTCCCGGAGAGCTTCTCCTCTCCTCTTGCCTCAGGGACTCACAGTTCAAGCATCCCCTTCCTTATCCCTGAGTCTTTCATAATTTCCCTAGGCTATTTTAGGTTCCCTTCCCTGTGCTGACATTAACACCTTTTGTATACTTCTAGGACATCACTTACCACATCATGTTGTACAAATCTGATTTGTCTACAAGTCTGATGAGCCACAAGCTCTTTGATGGCAAAGATAATGTTTTACTCATCACTGATTCCATACATAATAGGCACACAATAAACAGTTGTTGATGCATTAATGATAAATGACATAGGAAGTTTTAAAGAATAATGACTGTACCTTCTGGATCCCAGATCAAAATTACAGTAAGTATTAACACTGAAGACTAAATTCCCCTCACACATTTATACTACCTATACAATTCCTGATCAGAAAAAAAGAGGCCAAAGATATGAGAAGATTGCTTTAATAGTACTACTCATTGCCAAGTTATCAGTCAAGCCGTTTGCAGCACTGAGAATGACTCAACACAAAAAAATGAGTGAAAAGAACAAATCTAAGAAAGTTTCTAAGTTTCAGGCTCATTCTTCTGCATCTGGAGAATATGAACAATGATTAATCAAAAAGAGTTCTTGGAAAAGTCACTATCTCCACTGCCATAGAACCTGTGGCCAATTTCAATTTAATATGACTTCTGAGAATATGCAGGAAAGCTATTCGCCTTCTGATCAAACTTAACTAAGGTTTTGTTAAGGGATAGGGATCTGAACTAAGTCCTCCAGGACCCTGCTATGTTGTACATTAGAACTCAAAATCATTCCTCACTGGCTTTGCTCATCTCTGAAGAAATACAGGCAAGGCAATAAAACACTGCCTGTCTCAAATACCTCTCCCTGTAGCAATCCTGTACCACACAAGGCCACTACTGTGTTTACAAACTGCTAATAGGATGATACAAATGTCTAATCTGATCCTGTGGGAACAAAGACCTAGAATCTCTCCAGGATTAAATAAATTTAGTCAGTTTTGTACTCCCAAAGTTGTGGGGCTCAACAAAGTTGAAGAAAACATAAAGACCAACACTCACACAACTAAGAGGATGGAAAGGGACTGGACTTGGCCTCTGAGGAACTTGTGCAGCAGAATGAGATGTGGCTCTTGTGAATGAGAGCGAACTGTGAATTTATCTCATATAGTGAATGAGATAAGCCATGCTCAAGGGCAAACCAGGAGAACTGTTTTGTTGTTATCATTCCTAAGAAGCCAAGAAGCTCCAGTTAAATTAATTTAGGTCTCTTGAAGAAATAAATAATTTTGACCGTGAGCAAGAGCATTTGTCAAGCCAATGTTTCTGACTAGGTGTTTAGCATATTTCTTTATGCTACTACTGTCTTACATAACCCATCTATGACACTAACACTGGCAGCTACATTAATCACAGCTTGCCCTTCACAAGATATGTGATTCCACTATTCTCTTCCAAGAAGAGAAACTGAGTCATAGCATATCAACTGGCTTCCCCAAGCACAGACTTCTTTTGTAGTGAAACAATCCAGATTTTCTTCCTCCTAATCCTCTTTCCATGAATGAATCTCAGCATGCCCACCCCTGCTGCTCTGTTTCCTTTAACCTAAAACTAAATCATTGTTTTCCTGAGGGGCGGAGGTGAGCGCAGTTGATCCCTTACAGCCTGCAGGAGCTTCTAGTTCTCCCCGCCCCCCCAAAAAAAGGAAGAGGAACAAGGAGCACAGCAGGGGAGGGTTGGAAAAGGACAGTTCCCAATACTAGGACTCACCTTGGAGCTGAGGTCCTCTCGCCGATTTCCTGCCTTACTCCTGCGTAGTTTGATGGATGGGGATCGAAGCAGGTTCTTGAGCCGGCTGGTAATGGTTGACCCCTCCACGGCCATCATGATGAGGAGCCCCGGGACAGTTCCTGGCCCAATCTTGGGATTCGTCTCAACAGCAGTACTGCCTTTCCACTCCACAGGATCTTCCAGTATACCCTCTCACTGGCCTGAGATGGCAGAGGCAACCTTACCGTCTGCCCTGCAGTGTCTGCCGCTCTTATCTAACTATTGCCCTTTCCCCTCTCTTCATCCCCCGCCTTCAAGCCCTGCGCCGTTCCTTACGCCGTCTGAAGGACAGGCCCATGCTTGCTAGAGGCGTTTAAACTGGAGGGATGGATGGGCCCTACCTAGCAGGGCTAGTAGCTGGTAGCTGGTCTGGTTCCCGTTAGTTTCCAACTGTTCCCATGGCCGAGGCCACCAAGGAATCCCTCAGGGGGCCTGAGTACCTGCGCCGGCGGGCGCACTCTGCGCCACAGGGCTAGCTACGGCCCGGCACCCCGTTCAGCACAGTAGCCTCCCACCCCCACGCCCGACCCTCTGGCGTTCGCTCTTGGCTCTCCACCGCGGCCCGGGACCTTTCGCTTTCACCTCCCTAAGAAGCCCCTGCTACTCGTCAGCGCCCCCGCTCGGAACCAGCCTCACCAGCCCCGGGGCCCGGGGACCGCAGCACTCAGAGTGCCTTCAGGCATCGCGCTCGGCGGTTTCAGCTCGGCGGCCGCTGCGGCAACGGCAGCAGCTATGGCAGCACAAGCGGCCCAAAACGCGAAGTACCGACTGGGTGGGCGGGGCCGAGGCGGGTGCGGTCTCTATCGAGAAGGGCGTTCCAAGAGCCAACGAATAAGACTCGTGGGGGCGTGGCCAATGGGAGGACCTAGAAGCAGAGGATCTGGGAACTCAAGCACTACGGATTCCACGCAACTTAGTCGAGGATAATGCTCCTCGAGTAAAGGTCAGAGGAACAAGGCTTCAGAATTGAAAGAACCAAGCCTTTTAATGGTATGAGGTCTGGTCCCCCACAAGTGCACTCCCAGGAGCCCCAACAAGACGGTAACTATATGCCCCCAGAGTGTCAAGGTTGTCGATAGGCTCGAGGGACCAAAGCTGAAATTAATTTTTAGCTCAGAATTTTTAGGATTGAGGCACCGGTAAGGCTCTTCTCCCGATCAACCCCAAGCACTTGTGCCCAAAGCGATTAGAATAGTTGCTCGCTGTGCTCAACCTACGTTGAAATGACTCTCCGTAGTCTTTTTACTTTAAAAAAATTTATTTATCTTTAGAGGGGAAGGGGAGAGGGAGAGAAATATCAATGTATGATTGGTTGCCTCTCTCATGCGTCCCCTGCTAGGACCGCCTGGCCTGCAACCCAGGCATGTTCTCTGACTGGGAATCGAACCATGATCCTTTGGTTCACAGGCCCGCATTCCATCCACTGAGCCACACCAGCCAGGTCCATAGTCCTTTGATTGCTAAGAAGCGTTGCTAAGCAACCAGATTGACCAGGGAAGATGACTGCCTAAATAGATTTAGGTGTATGGGGTAGGAATATATTTCTGGTTTAACCTCCAATGTCCCACCGCGCTCTTACCCGGAGTTAACCATGATTCTGTGGCTCTAGGTCTTTTTTTTTTCTATCAAAACTCACTCGTGGAACATTTTTCCTAGTACTACTAACTCGGTGAGTTAACTGTCAAGCTTGCTGACACTAGTTTTAGTGGTATAGTTTCAGCTTTAGCTCATGGGGCTGTGGGTGCACACAGAAATACCTTTACAGTAATATTTCACTGGTCCCATAGCATGACACTTTTCATAAAATTGCCTTAAATAAGCCTAAACCAAGATTATATCCTAAGCCAGAGATACGGTAGATGTGCCAGTCTCAACCTATCCAGATCCTTGTAACACCTGGTGGACACATTAGCAAGAGGGTAGGACTCCTAAACTCATTGGTGTGGACAGGTCTCGTACAGCCAAGTGGTAAAACAGGTATGTGCTTCTGTTATTCTTCTACATTATGAAAACATGACTGTTAGGAATGTGCTTGTGTGTATTCTAACCTTGTATTAAGAAATGAGATCTGTAAAGCTCACAGATCAAGTGGCCTCCTAGACCAACTAGCAATTATGTTAGAGGCATAAGGCTTCCCCTTCCCTTCAACCACGCATGCACTGCAGATGTAATGAAATTATAAAATGGAATTCTCTCATTTATTCCCCAAATCTGGAGAAAGTAACCAAATGCAACTAACCACAACAGTATGAAACGGGGGTTGGTTCCTTCAACTCCTTGTCGGTCATTTTACCTCTAAGGTGGTAGGAGCCAATATAACACTAATAAATAGTGCCACCTGGTGTCCTTAATTGCGTGTTGCATTCACAGCAATTGTCATCTCCATCCTTAAAAGTTGTCCCTCCCCCCACATCACTTTTGTGTCCACTACTTTTCTCACTCGTGGCCAAATTGGTCACTTCCTGTCTAGCACTACAATGTTTTGTGCCCTTAAAGGAAATGTTCCCCAAATTACTCTAATTTGAAACTGAAGTTGAAGCAAATTCAAGTTCTGCTTTTCAATGTCAAAGATGATCTAGGTGACAAGCAACTGAGAACAGTGTGTAAGTATGGATACTTCATCTAGGGCCAAAACCACATTTTTAATTCTTTACAGTTTAGTCCAACTTTTACTGTCTAGGTGCCAGGCAGCCTTTGAAGTGCCAATATGGAAATTCCTCAAACAATGACGGTTCCAGGGCCAGTGCAAACAGGAACCTTATTTCATTCATTTTTCTCCCAAGTACTACTCATTCCACCCTCCAAAATCCAGGTGACCATCCACTCTATTTCACTTTTTATTTTGCTTGTTTATGTCCTAAACACATATACATGGTTGTCACTCTAAATCTGATGTCTAGGGAAAGATGTGTTTTGCACTATGCTCATTAGACCACATTTTAAAAATTCACCCTAGATTTAACAAGCCAACAGGTCCAAGTGTAAGATCCTGGAAAAAAGGTTAAACATTTGCCCACCAAATATTTATTGAGCACCTTTACATGCAAGGCACTATAGGACAGCTGAAAGCAATGCTTGCGGTTGGAAACAGGATGGATCTCAAAACAATGCTTCCAAGACTGCATTCCTAATGTAACAAACTCTAACAGCAGGGTTCACAATAGAGTTTAGTAGAGCTTATTTAGATTTGTCTCAAAATTCCCAATTCACCCCATGATTTAGCCATCTCACATTCTACACACACCTTCATCACTATTACTCAACACTTAATAGATCTCTAGAGACTCAAGTTTAATATACAATTATACCTCAATTTAAGTTTTTATGTGTGTGCGTGTGCGTGCGCGCACATATCTCAAATTTCTAATTTTAGAAGTGCATTTCTGACTCATCTTTTCTTCCTCCAAATGGCAGTGGGTCTGTATACCTCATCTTTTAATTTTCTCTGCATCCAGCCATTCATATTCATGTAAAATTTCATTAGATATAATACATGGAAGTATTGATTGTACAAGTACTTTCTTCAAAATCAACAACTTTGTGCAATTAATGTAGTCTGAGTCTTGGTTTTATCAATCATTCTCTATAAAAACTACCTGGAAATGTACCTACTCAGTACACTGCTTTTTTTTTTTTTTAAATCTTCTGGAAGAAACAAGATTATCGCTATTGTTTAGACTAGTCTTCTAAGTGTTCTAGTCTTCTAAGAGACTAGTCTTTTCAATTCACCCAATACTACTGAATATCTCAGCCAGTATAATGAGAGAAAAAACATATATACTACAAAACTCTGCCCAAATAACATATAGATTTCTTCTGTATTCAAAGCATTTTCAAACTTGTTATTAAAGGCCTACTTGTCATGTATTTCATCCATAATTTTTGGGAAAAGACTTGCATTTACTACAAAATTATGTAATTTGTATGAAGTTTATATACCTGGACTTGATCTGTGACCTGTAGTTCAATTCTAAAGGACTCCTTTAATAAGTTTTTTGTAAATCCTAATACTAGTTAACATGTATCTTGTTTAAGATCATCTTTGTCCTTACCTGCTAAGACTATGTTCATGTCCTATTATTCCTCAGGGTAACAGGTATATTACCTTGCACACACTGGTACCATAAGGCTAGTCTTTCTGTATAACGATTTCTTGAGACTTACATTTGCTGTACCATATTTTGAAGTCTCCATGTAAAACATGCTTCAAGGATCAGAACACCAAAACCTCCCCCAAATGGCATGTCAGAAATTTTGAAAACAGTAAGGAATTCCTAATGATAAAACTACTTCAGTGGCACCTCTTTCAATATGATTCAGGGCATTAGGATTCTCTACTCCAACTCAGCACAAACCTCCCAACACCAAGTCCTGCTTTAATTATTACAAGTGATTTATTTATTTCAAGTTCACACATTCTGCCTTCCACTCCCCAAACTTCTTCTGTTCTTGGGTTTCTAAAAAAAAATAGTCATTTTTCAAAAGCAGAAAAGGAAAGATATATATTTAATATATAAAAGAAAAGGCTAAATCTGACATAATTATATTCTTAAAAACATTCCATTTATTTACAGATGTATAAAAAGGCGAATTATTGGTCTACGGAGATCATGCTTCTTAGAGAGTCAGGGTGAGAGCTCACTATTCTCCAGATTCCTCACTATTCTCCAGATTCAACTTCTCTCACTCAACTTACATCTTTCATAATCACACGAATGATTTTCATAATCAGTTTCTCCTGGGGTAAGGTTAAAAGATAAGAATTTTTGGAGATTTTAGGTTTCTGTCAATCTGCAGGATTGTTCTGAAGACTGAGCCCTCCTCAAAATAGCTCCGGTAATTCCTAGTTCTAAGAGATCTTGAAAACACCGTGATCTTAGGGGTTTGCAATGAAATCTTCAGCTTCCTTGAACAACAGGAATCATCTCTCATTTCCATCTGTGTACACCTCTCATAAACAGCCAAATACCTTTCCATCAAGAACTGATACTGTTTGTTTATAAAAAAGGGAAGTGTTCAGAAGCAGAATGGTCCTTCTTTTCCTGAGGATTATTCGCTCACTTGCCTGTTCCTTGGCTGACTCTCAAAAGCCATAACGAGAGCTTTCGGAAGTCAGGAGGAAATGGGGAGGACAAGACGAGCAAGGAAATAATGGGAAACTGCTATACCTGGATTAAAGTACTAGCATCTCAAAGGACATTTATTAGCAGGGAAGACAGATGCTGGACTCCTTGGCTAAGGCATGAATGAAATCTGCTTGGTAACGAGGAGTGGGAAGGATAATGAGAAGAGGCAATTATTACCTACTTCAAGCTTCTTCAGTAACCTTAGAGGAGGGAAGGTTACAAGCTGGATGAACAATGTCTAGAAAGGCAAGTAGCACAAGACAAAGAATGTAGGCATCATTGCAATTTACAGAGAAAAATTTCCCACCCTTTTCAATCTGTTTATTATCAGAGTTACTAGAAAGGGAACCAACCATGGAAGTAATTATTCACTGGCTAGAACCATTCCGAAGTTGGTTTCATTACCTAGGTCCGAAGATATGCTGAGTGGGATTTGAGATAGATAAAGAAGGCAAGGGATGTAGAAGAAACAGCATTACCTAGGCACAGCCCAGGTACTGGAAGCTCTTGTGTTAGTGTTTAACAACACAAGCAAATCCTGTCAATGAAGACAGAACATGGGTTACATTCCAAAATATAATTATTTAAGAAAGGCAAAATGCAGCAGCTAAAT